CACATTTACTGTAATTTCGACACATTTTACTGATTGTCCTAAATTTTGAAAAAGTAATTAGAATGTTAAGTGTATGTGCAAATAAGATACAAAAAAGACAAGTTGACTGAAATCAAACTTATCAACCAACCTCCAACGACAGGAATAAATATCAAAAATTCATTATTCAGACAAAACTTTTCACCGTATGGTTGAAAGACCATGAAAAATTGAGAAAACCTTTTTCGTTTGGGATCGTATGTTGTGATTGTTTTAACAAAACTTCTGGACTTACCCCAGAGTAGTCATTGTGACAATAGTGTACCAAAATGCTGCTGGAATGCTACTAAACTGTGATATTTCCGACTTTTCTGCATAAAATATTATCGTTGAAAAAATTATGACGCCCATTGTTATCGTGAATAGAAGAAAACCTAATTCGGAGGCGCAGCAACGCAATGTGCAACCTAATATTCTCAATCCTTTACTGTGTCTCGAAAATTTGAAAATACGACAAACTCGAAACACTCGTAAAGTTGTAAAAGCACCTGAAAATTCCTTGTTATTAGACATAAAAAGTCCGACATAATACGGAAAAACTGCGGCTATATCGATGATTGACATAACGGATCTAATAAATTTGCATTTTGCAGGAGCTGCATACAGCCTTGCTAAATACTCGATTGTAAATAAAAGTACACAAGCGGTATCCAAGCAAAAGAATGCAGCGTTATACTTTTCTCCACAAGGAATATTATCTCCAGTTTCGACACTAATGCCACAGGAAACAGTCTCTGTTATATTAGCCAGTACTGAAACAGCTATAAAGAATCCCGTTACGTAATAAAGCACGACTGCTAGTGTTGAAGCCTGGGGATTTTCAAATGCGCGCCACAACCTGTCTCTGAAGTTTGTTGATAGTTGTTCTTCCTCTGATGCAACCTCTTTATCTTCCTGCTGCCTTTCCTTATTTTCCCTGTATTTATCAAGATATTCTTCATAGCAACAATCTCCCATGATTTCTGGCATGATACCGAAATACAACAATTCTTCATGATAAGCAGTAACACAATAATCCTTTGGTAGATGGAGCCTTTCTGATCGATAATATTCCATAATGTAACGGAAAAGCTCCGGATCTCTATCGAAAAAATATTCTTTTGAAACCGGATCTTGGAAATAATCTTTCTCATCAGAACCAAGCAGTGTGTCGGGAAATTTCTCAAGCGTGGATTTGCGAGTCTCAAATCTTCGTCCACTTACATTAATCACTATCTTTCTATCCTTTATGTACTTTTTGTTAGTGATCAAAGGCTCATCAGGCAATCTACTTTGAAGCAGTGGTGTCCAACCGATAGCAGAAGCTCTTACAACTGGAAGCCAGGATGGAATCATTTCAAAAACTGTGAACAACAATTCTCAATGCATTTCATTTTATTTATGTTGGTACACATTGTGGCAAACATCATAATGTAAAAGCTCGTATTGTCTCATAGCTTTTTCATAAGGTGCACGAACTAAAACTGACCTTGAAGGTCAATATCCGAAACTCAATATTACTCTATTATCATGAGCGTCGTTAAAAATAATGAATGTACATTCTACATTGTATACAACAGATTAACACGATGGATACAGCTTGATATAAAGAAGCTATGCACAGAGTCATGTTGAGACATCATTTAACTGTGATTCAAAAGAGTCATAAATAATATTCAAACACCTTCAATAAATATAAATTTTTTTGAATTCATCTAACTAACAATGAGAGAAGAGTTTGTCTTTAAGTTGTTTGAACGTTTCCCCACATAGCAAGTGGACCTATTGAGAAGGGAATTTGGACATTTTCTACAACCCACAACCAGGGATGACATGATCATTATCCTCTGTGTCATTTCGATAGATTTAGACTAACATATTTAACGGCCATAAAATCAAATAAGGATAACCTAATATTCTTCCTTCATATGAATGAAAAATGTACGAATTCTTATGTTTACGTTTATGGTAGCTTGAATGTTCTCCGCAAACCAATCATATTGCAACATACAGTTTGTTCCTGCTGCACTTGACAGTCTAGTGTTGAATGGAAGAAAAATCAAAGTATTGACGAACTACCTTAAAGACACCTGCATCAGGAGACCTACATGATTTATAAGCCAGAGAAATCTAATATTCCAAACGGCAATGAGTAACATCCCTAATTCCGTTGTGAAAGTGTTTTCCCATAACAAACTACGAGGTACAGAAGTGATATGGAGACCATAGCTGGTTTACCTATGTCTTTTGCCCTAGTGTGCTAAATTTATTGTTGTTCTCAAAACCAAAAGCCTATAACGATTGGAAACCAAATCTTATGACCCTAAGCATTCACAGTATAAGGCTATGTACGCCACCAGGGTATTTTTCTGCACCAATAGCTAGGACATCCCTATATAAGAAATGAAAGTAACCGCATAAATTTACATTAGTTTAACATTCGATTCAAAAGGATCTCGTCGGATATAAAGGGGAGTGAGAATAAGAGCATGAAATCTTGAGAACCGAGTTTCGATGATAAGTGAAATGTCGAGCTATTAAATAGCTGAAGATGCTCATAATAGAAACCTTACGGTGAATGATTCATGCTTATAGGTAACCCTCGTTCTATTAATAGAATAAATCGGACTAGTAGTGAACAAGTCTTTATTTAGATTGCGTGGCAGTTGTTTTCTCAACGGATCGTAACTCTCATGAAAAGCTCAAAGTCCTTGTTAGCTAAGCTATATGGCAAAGTCGGATAGCTACAAAGAAAGCTTATTGTGTTTGGTACGCACCTAATTTCATGATCATGCCACATACCCTCAATCCGAAAGTGTTCGGTAGTGAATATATAACATTATTCAGCTGATAATCAAGATAAAGTAGCTTTGAGGTCATCCGTCTTGTCATGTGTGTTCAGCTTGTCTGTTTTTCATTACTGATAGCCGTGAATAGCGTGCTTTCAAGCTTCTATATGGTATTTTGGTTATTTTTATCTTTCTCTCTTACAACCCAAGACATGGGTGCCCGAGTTAATGCAACTGCAGAGATATCGAATATGAAAAGACTTGATCTTCATATTTACTTTTAAGTGTTAGTTGAGTCTCTAATTATTCTTTGGCCACTCGATAACTAGCATATGTTCTACATGTGCTTTTCGTGGCGCTGAATTGTAGTAAGGGGGCCAAGTGGAGAAAAACAAAACAGTCCATAAACATATGCTTCGGGTTCGAATTGAGAATTAGAGTTCTCACTACTCCCTGGTATTCCCATGACATCATGGGCGATGAACTAGATATTCAAGACATGGAACGTCTCAGGTGTGGCACGGAATACAAAATAGAGGCCGAAATAACAACATGTTAGCAGTCACTTCGAGATCATAACGCCGAATAAGTTTTATGATGTCTGATTTCGTGTTCATCTGATGATGCTTCAATGAAAATGGTATCAATCAGTAGATTGTACAGACTAATCGCCCTTCATTTAAGTCAAAATCAACGCAAAGAGATGCTCTAGATGCTGTATCATAGACACCTGGGCGAGAAACAACGATCAAACCCAAAGAACTAACATCTCTTAATGTCCTGGAAGTTAACCACTAACCATAGAATTTCGATCACTTCATGAATTTAAGACTAGACCCTCACTAACACAGATGCTATTAAATTCTACAACACTCACTTCGAAAAACTGCTAAGCCACGTGTAGAGCTTCATTGGTATGAAAGATGCTTCCCAAACGACAATGGTGACAACTACCAGGTAGGTTACACCAAAATTAGTACTGGAGAAATAACCAAGACTTAGAGCTTGCAAGCTCTTCATCGTCAAATATGTGATTAATTTAATTGCTCTCTGGACTCTTAACAGCAACAAAATGAGTGAAGCTCAGTAATTCTCTTTCCAGTATTCGACATGAGGGACAGATGGGATCCAAGCCACTCTACGCCTATTGTGCATCTTTGGTCAACTTTGAAAATGTTAGAAAGTTTAGTGGACGATTGTTGATGTTTATCAGTGACTTCCTATTAAACTTCGTCCCCTTAGCTTCTATCCGTACGTAGCGTGATAAACCGTGAAGAGCTTTGGGACGTAAGGATGATGCACAGCAGCTCTTAAGAGACATAATTGTTTCTGTGAGGTTATGTGCTATGTCAAGCCCTCACAATTTATTCCAGCTTCCATGCAAGTCAATCTATTCATTCTTCTTAGATCACATTTTGACATCGTCATTCATTGGCCTATTTATTCTGATTGTCTTTATATTGTCATATATATGTTGATTGCTTATCCCACTCATCACATGTCTGTAGCTTATTTTTGTTCCGACTATAAATATTGATTGACGCCTGGTTAGGTTGAGTTGGCTCATTTGCCTTCTTCAGTCTGCTTCGATCTCCCCTCTCTGTTTCGACCCTCTGGTTTCCTGTTCAAATCAATAACTGCACGAAATATACATATTCGATATCCATCCTCGCATTTGGTAAATGTAATTCCGTTCTTCACTAACGTGATTCAAGTCGATGACTTTATAAGAGGATTGGTGACGTGTATATTTCAATAACAATCATTCCTATGATCTAATAGGAGTCAGGTCTATGGCCACTGCACTTCTGCAATCACTATCTTCACGAAACCTTGTCATTAACACCATCATCATTCTTATCGCTTTTAAAATTATAATGTGATTATTACCTCATTTATGTTCACCACTACTTGTTAATATACCTAGGTTACTGTCTGAGGGTATTGATGATTCACTGCTACTAGACACAGAAGCCCGTTAAGCGAAAGCTTCTATCCCGTCTACAACCATTTGAACCGTTTAACTACCAAGTTCACTTGGTTTCATATAATTGGGTAGCAGAGAGACCTACATTTTACGGCACGGAAGATCTTTAACCCAACCACAACTTGTAGAAGCCATTACAAAGAAATCAACAGGTTTAGACAAGCTCACCACATAGACATTGAATAAAGACATTGAAATAAAGAGATCCGTAGTACAATTTTTGGCGTTACGTTTACATTTGTTCGACGGTTACAGGAGTGATTAGACTGTTACATGACATTTTATATTCTTTTTTTTCATGTTTTCTCGCATTTCAGTCCTAGTTTATACGAATCTTAAGAAAATTCATTATAGTAGGCTTCGTTTTAACGGCGTTTACATAGAAATAGGTATATTGGAGCGTTTCCATTGAAATCAAGGTGCAAAAATAAGAAATAAGTTGTTTGTGATCATTTCATCCCAAAGTTATCGGATACTGGCGTACAAGGTAAGGATATTGGACATGTCTCTGAATAATCCAAACGTGCCAGGAGACTGGAACAATGAATTTGTCCGCTCTGTAAACCAGGAGGTGAACACTTAGTATATGATAATCCCCCAGTTGGCCTGAAAGTTTAAGCAAATCCTCTGATAAAGTCCAATATGTGTTTTCGAGTAGTCTTGAAAGGTTTGGGGACCAGTTATTGAGTTAGAAATCGAAATTATTACTTAATGACAATATGTGAATGTAGGTTATAGCTTATCACCATAAGAATCTATGAAATTTTGGTGTTTTTAAGGGATCGTCCCATCTCATTTGTCTGGGTACGATCTACCCAAATTACTGAGACCATCAGTTCCATTATCTTCAGGTGTAGGTTAAATATAGGTACCCATGTTCTGTCGGAATACAGAATAATTCGTTGGTTAATGTGAAGATAATTACTTAGGCTCACAGCTACCGGTAGTCATAATGTGCAAGTTGTTAGCTGCTTGTTAGTAAAGCCCTTCCAGATGAATATTTCGGTCATTTTTGTCAGTTCCTCTCTAGGTAGCTTCTTCAATCCACTTGAACTCACTCAAGTACAATCATCTTACGGGGCAATGTTCAAAAAATGCTGTGAAGGTTTTGAAGGTTCCTTAACTAGCAAGTCTCAAAAAATGCTTCATTTTTTCCCCTTCAGGTGTTACATGAAGTCGCGTAAGGTGCGATGCCTGAGACAAACCACGGAGCTGGGTGCCTCTTCAGATTCTGAGGAGGATCGTCTCGAAGATTCTACTGTACCCGTTGTTGCAGACTCCACAGTAGTTGTGGAAGCAATAAGAGAATTGCAAAAACTAAGGAAACGACCAGCTGGAGTAAGCTTGTCTGCACTAGCCACTGGTAAAGAAGTTCCAGATCTCAATCTAACAATCGCCAACGACCCATTTAGACTTAAGACTGGTGGTCTAGTTGACCTAAACAGTATTTCATCTGCTAAACAATCCGAAGAGGACGATGACGTTGAAGCTCGTCTAGCCAAAACGTTTGCCACAGAAACTAATAAGAGAGATGAAGATGCCGAAATGTAATCTTCCCTATTCGTTATAATGCTTAATTTTAGGATCAAGTACATCGAGGAGGAAGTAGCCAAACGAAAGGGATTAATTAAACCCTCCACCCTAGACCGGTATGTTTCAGTACTTCCCATATGAATTACGCTTTTCCTATATTTGTTTGGAGACAACATAGGTAATATATTTCAAGTATTTTTATCTGTAGAAACAACTTGAAACAGTTTACGAATAATTCGTCAGTGTTAGAACTAAATTCCTGACCTTATATAAAGTGTTTGTTTACGATATGAACATACAAATTAGACCATATCGCTCTCAGTGTTATTTTTATTGTTATTAATTATTGGAACCAGTTTTGCTATAATAAGCAGCTTATGACATGTTAAAAAGCTAACCTGAAACAATCTTTTTTTGAGACTTGACCACCCTTCTGTTACTTCCAGTGCTACGTGGAAACCAGACAGAAAGTACTTCCACGCTACTTAGATCTTTACACGAATGCCTTACCACCTAAATTATAATCTTTAACATATCAAATCACGCCATTTCATTTCGGTATTAGCTGCAGAGAACGTCGCTTTGAAACTTTGAAACTAAACAGCCGGACCCCAAAGTCACTTTTCCGACTGCTCTATTTGGCATGTTTTTTCATTTCTTTTCGTGTAACAACTTTAATCGTATACACATTAATATCAAGTTGTACGTTGCTTGTTACTGATTGGACGAATACTATGAAACATTCCCTGATAAAAGTGTGTCATTTTAAAAGACAGTCCAAAATCTATCACAGTGGCTAAGTGGAATTTATGATATATTTAAATTTGAGATTCTTACTATTTCATATTCATTTATTCCTGTTAAACTATATGTTTTATGTTTAGTTCAATCTCATGGTCATATAGTAGTGTGGTGTGTGCTACCTATATCGACATAAGTAGTATATAATGTTAGTCGTGAACAGAATATCTGGCAGCAGAGAGACAGGAGGATCGAACAGTAAAGAATGGAAACAGAATGCAATTCGTATGAAAATGCAAGAACAATTAAGTCTGAGTCATTTTAAGACAGTTGATGGACATTTTGCAAATTAAGCATATACAATATGATTGTTAGATTATATTAACAAGTCCTGTAATTTTGTGTTAAATACATTCGATTGTCCATACTGGTTTTCCATTACGTGAAGATTGTGGCTTATTTTCAACTTACTTTCCCCTACTTTAATGAGTTATGGACCCCAAACCCTATTCTGCTTACTGAGCTTCTTGAAGTTGGATATTTCCATTAGCTGTCACAGTGTATGTTCATTATATAGTCTAATACACAAATTTGCATCCAATCACTTTTCAACTTTATAGAGAATGAATTCTTTTCCATCTCTATTTGTTTTCGTCAAAAATTATCCAAAAGGTGTTAGTTACGTAGCCTATGCTTATAAATTAAGGTTCACAAACTTAGAAATGTTTATAATTAGTTTACATGTGACCCATCGTGTCACATATATTTTGAATTAGTTTTGATTTCATTGTTAAAATGTAGACTAGTTAAGTTACTAGTCTTCGAAATGTAGTCAAAATCCAATACCTGTTATTGAAATTATTTTAATACAACTATGTTCTAAACAACTAAATATTCTAATTCTCATCATGTTTTGTTTGTAAATTCTCCATATTTGATTTAGGGATGAAGATTCAGACTTACTACAGGATGTTCCTGAGTATCTCAAACCTTCGATTGGTCAACAGAAGGAAGACATGTTATCTAACCAAATGTTATGTGGTATCCCTGAAGTTGATTTGGGTGTAGAAGCGAAAATGAAAAACATAGAAGCCACAGAAGAAGCCAAGCAAACACTTTTTAGAAAAAGAATAAGTCGCAAACATGGTTATTCAACAGATCACATAGCACCAACTAGTATGGCAGTCAACTTCGTTCAGCACAGTCGGTGGAGTGAGTTAATGTTTGTTGTCTATTCACGTGTGGCTCCCAGATTTATTTGTTCATACTTCGTTGAACTTATAAAGTATAATACAGTAAGATATTCCGTATTACCAGTCAGTCAGTCAACTAAAACGTAGGACCAGGCACATATATGCATCGGTCCAAGTTGCCATACCTCATTAACTCAACAAGATGGACACCAGATTCATAAAAGTAGTTAATTCAGAGGTGGTAATATATAAAAGAAAGACTGCAATAAGGATATAGTACAGAAAGAAGGAATTAGTTCGTAGAAAGAAAGATATGAAGCTATTTTAATCTCTTAGTTTAAGGGAAGACAGAGAGTGCATACACTGACGCCATTGTTATTGATTCTGAGCCATGTCATCAAGAGTCTCCAACTATTGGTTACGATAGTCATGTCGACCCCAATCAAGTAGTCTGCATCTACCAACATGGCTCAGACTAGAAGTTAGTGACTTCAATCACTGATGCCACGTTTTGGTTTGGCCGCCCTTAACTTTCTTCCAACCATCCCGAACACCGGTTAACATTGCACGTCGTGGTAATCGGTGTTCGGCCATACGTAACACGTGGCCCAATCATCTTAGTCAATGAAGATTCATAACCTCATCAACTGATTTACCATCCTTTCCTAATACCCTACGTCTAACCTCACTATTACTTACCCGGTGATTCCAGTAGACGCCAGCAATATTTCTGAGGCATCTGTGGTCAAATATTAGTAGCTTACGAGTGTCTTCTACTCTTAATGGCCATGTTTCGCTGCCGTAAATGAAAACAGAACGGACTGCCGCGCAGTATACTCGTCCTTTTATTGATAGACGGATATTTCGCCTTCGCCATAGGTGACGTAAGTTGGCAAAAGCCAAGCGAGCTTTTCGAATTCGTGCTGAGATTTCGTCAGACACCAACTCATTAGGGCTGATCAGACTTCCAAGATAAGCGAAGTTGTCAACGCGTTCGACTACTTCACTCCCTATCCTTAGTTCAGGTGTTGACGCAGACCAGTCCTGAAGCAACAACTTGCATTTAGAGGGAGTGAAGCGCATTCCAAACATTCTGGCATTGTTGCTTAATGCTATCAGAAGACTGCATTTTGTCAGCGTCTTCACCAAACAGGACTATATCATCTGCGTATTCTAAGTCGGTAAGTGGACCTCCTGGAAGGAGATCAATACCCGAGAATTCAGTCGACGAGAATGATATTTCCATCAGTAGGTCTATGATGAAATTAAACAAAAATGGAGAAAGTGGACAGCCTTGACGGACACCACTTGAGGTTGCAAAAGCAGATGACAGTTCGCCATAAGCTCTGACTCGACTGGTAGTGTTCGAGTAAAGAGCCTTCACAAGGTTTATGTACTTCTGAGGTATGCCTTTCAATGACAGACACTACCACAGAATCTCGCGGTCTACCGAGTTAAATGCTGCATTTAAGTCAAGAAAGACCGCCATTGTCGGACGCCGATAAGTATGCCTATGTTCTAGAACTTGACGAATGGTGAATATGTGGCCGATGCGGCCACGAGCAGGTCTGAAACCAGCTTGGTTCTCTCGTGTTTGCAGTTCACGAGTCTTAGTTAGGCGTCTGATAAAATCTTAGTCAACCTAATCGCTAAAATTGGACAATCATCCTTAAAGACCTCTGGAGCCAATCCATCTGGACCAGCTGCCCTTCCTCGTTTCAGATTAACTATAGCCTTTTGAACTTCTGCTACAGTTGGGGGACCTACTTCAATGTTCCATTCACACTGTCTGGGAATGGAGGGTAGTTGTAGAGTAGCTGAAGGCCAGCTGAAATGTTCCGCCCATCGTTCTAAACGTCTGGACTGGGAGCAGATGAGAGTGTCGTTTTTTTTCTGAAATAGTCTGACTTACACTTGATTTATTAATTCCAGTTTCTTTTATTAGTCTGTAGGGCTGTCTTGTGTTCCCTATAGCCGCCGCCTTTTCCATCTCTTTTGTTTTCTTTGCCCACCACTTCTCACGGTCGTTCCTTAGAATTTTGGTTAACCTAGATCTGATTTGTTTTCGCTCTTCACCGTGTTCAGAGCCTGATGGAATGAGTTTACGAGAATCCATCAGTGCAATAGACATTAAGAAAATCCATTGGTTCTTTGTAACCCTGTGGTTTAAATCACTGATAGATGTCACTGCTGTTTCCACAGCTGTTTGTATATCTTTCCAAGCAACATCTGGGTCAGCCTCGTTTTCAGAACTATCTAATTGTGACCTCAGTTGTTCGTGGAACCTACTTTTGGTTTTCTTGCTATTCAATTCCGTTCTAATGGGTCTTTTTACTGAGGCTTTTTTGCGTCCAGTGAGGCGCAAGCAGATGCGTGCCCTTATTAGGGCGTGGTCGGAGTCCAAACACGTACTCCAGAATGAGCGACAATCTTCTACCGACCCTCTCCAACGATGACTGGTGGCAATATGGTCTATTTGAGTCCATCGTTGGTTTGGTGTAGGGGGTCGCCATGTTAGACGATGTCTCTCCTTATGCTTAAAATTTGTGTTTTCTAAAAATAAATGATTGTCTGAGCATAGTTGCAGCAGACGATCGCCATTATCTGTTCGTTGTGCCGGAATACTAAAATACCCACCTAAATGCCTTTCTGTTTGGTTTAAACTACCTATCTGGGTATTAAAGTCACCTGCTACGAGTACTATGTCTGAACGCTCGACTTTCTGAAGAAGTTCAGATAGCTTTCTGTAAAATTCATCTTTCACTTCATCTGAGCTGCAGTCGGTGGGAGCGTAGGCAGAAACGACAAAAAGGCAACGACGTGTGTCCCTATCCTTCCGAGTTCTGACTGAGCCGTTAAGCCGAACAGCACATAAACGACTGTTAACGGGGATCCACTCTAACAGTGCTTGTTCCTCTCTTATGCTTAGTGCTATGCCTACTCCTGTCAGTTCACGAGAGCTGGCTATCGGGTCACCAGATACACGGAGGGTGTATCTCGTTGTCTCTCCGTTTTGCCGACGTGAGGTCAAGTGAATGACCACACTGGGATCCTGTATGTGTGTTTCAGAGACACAACATACATCAATGGTACGAGCGAGGTTCCAGTAGACCTGGGACAGTGTTTTGAGCACTAGAATCGTTGGCTGTGGTGACACTTGAGGGAGAAGCCGAAAGAGGAAGTTTAGAGGTGAAAGTCGATGTAGGAAGAATAATAGGAATTGAAGAGGGAGGTTGATTATGAATACAGCGGTCGTGAGTGCTGTTAGAGGTATGAGGGCGGTTATCACTTCCTGGTTGCCCACACCATGGAAGGGTTGTTCTGCAGGTGCCTGAAAAAAAAATTGGATTAGAAGTGGTCTTAGTGACCTGAGAGCGTGACCGCAGTGCCCAAGGGACAACTGCTTGAGGTCGGTCACACACGACCTTTTTATGGGTAATTTTTGTGTTAGCTCCGTACTTGTTGAGACCTTACCACCGGAGACGGATATCCGTGGGATAAGGCGGGGTGTGCATTTTTAGGGTCGACCTCTTCTAACTCCACCCCTTCCTGTGGGAAGGCAGCATCGCTGTCATGCTGCTTGTCTGAAGGAAACACCTTACTGCTGTCACATCTCTGTACAGTCAGCAGTACGACTTCGCCTTCGGACCTTAGGTTTGTTGCTTTTAGTCTTACCGCTCTTCAATCGACCTGTCTGACATGGTAGGACCTTAAGTAACGGTTGTTCCACCCAGTATAGCTCGGTTGCTTCATTACAATAGGCAAACCCGACCACGTCAAGGTAGCAACAACGGTCGGGATCCCGTATTACCAATATTTATACTATAGTCAATTTGATTGTCTTTTCTACTTTCTGTTCATGCGTCGTTTAATTTTTCAATATTGCAATTGTGTACATCAAATGTTTATATCAGAAAACATAAGGAGTTAGGTTGTAGTGAACAAGAACTCAGGTTGGGGGAAACCAGTTTATTGTTTAATGCAGAATTACAGTGTTTTTTTTAAATTTATGAAAACCATAAATGAAATACTATATATATATATATATATATATATATATATATATATATATATTCCACTATTTATATCTGTCAACATAAGTAGCATACACCACAAGGTGATTAGAAGCCCAGCTTTCGTTGCCGCATGTTAGTAAAAGGAAAAAAGGAACGTGCATTGCTATCAATGTTATGAAGTGTTTATTTTTCGAGGTATCTAATTAGGGGTCATATCACTTCTGTGAAAACTTCTAGTCATCTTATTAGGTAACACTTGTTTCGTAGATCATAACATGGCGACGTCTTCTTTATTAGCATTCAGACGTGAATAATCGTGTGTTAGTCAAAGTTACCATTTTATCAGTTCAGTAAGTTATCATTCTTTTGATGTCTTATTTTTTAATATTTGGGTGTGCACTTTGTTCACCTGAAACTAGTGTCTACACTATATCCAACAATATACCCGATATTTAATTTGATGTCTAAAATTATCATTGGCTTGGTTGCTTGACCGGTGGCTTAATGGTAAAAAAGTTTTACTTTCACCCCCTAAACCCTAAGTTCAAACCTTATCTCGCCTACTTTGTTTTGAACAACCAGATAATACCATTAGTTCTCACTTGGAATATGCCTCATACTGAAGTATTTGGTAAATGAATTAATTAGAAATTTGAAAACTATTTTAATTGCTTTATCATAAACTGGTATCTTAACATTTCTTCTGATAGAGGTATATGTGCTCAAGCTTTTTCTTTTCAAGTAGGTTGAGTCAAACACTTTGACTTAGTCTTCGGACCATTTAACCTAACTATCGGTCAACGGTATCGACTTTATTCCTGATACTTTCATTTGCTCTGATGGGTGATATCAACAACTTCTAATCAAACTTATTGATTGTTTCTGGTGCCAATGTCTATCAATAAAACAACCATATTAAACCAAATGGTATTTAAAGCTGTTATACAATGGATTCGTGGCTCAAAGTAATTCCAGGAGTTAGATTTATTGCCTGTTGATTTGGAATCATTTGAGTCAACCTAAAATCATTCCAAGACTTCATACGTTAAGATTTAAAGTGCTCCAGTATTATAAAAAATCTACGTTGAGTTTTACCAAAAGAAATAGTTGTGACTTTCATTTTCATGATATTGGACATATAGATGATATCGGAATTCTCTACTTTCTTTTATAGATCACAAAATCCTTACCAAGATCCCCATTAAATTTTATAATATTTATGTTAATTATTACGCTTATTTGTGAGACACTACTCACTTGTTTAAGCTGTCGAAAATATATTGCTCATACTAGTGTTATAAAGTATGAATCAACAAATTTTTCCTATTTTCTTTGTAAATTTTCATTTAAAAAATATAGATAGTTACACAAATGGAATCAGTAAAAGAGCTGATTTGAACAACGAACGAGAACTCAACCAAATAGCCAATAATAATACAAACGAACTAGAATCAACGAAAAATAATCCAATGTCTCCTCAAAGAGAAAATCGTCGTTTAAATAGTAAGTTTATTGAGATTCATCTTTCTGTTCTTATTTGTCGTTGGTACAGACAAGAAACAAAAAGTCGCAGTGTAGTGAGATTTTGAATACGTTTAATTTGGCTTAGTTCAGTAGGTTGCTTTCATCACAAATTGATCTCGGTTTGGGTACGATTTAAAACTAGGAAGCACTGACAGCTGTCTCATTCCCCAGTATGAGACTCCTAAACAATTCGTATCCCCTACCCCACCAGGAATAGCACTCTGAGCTTCCAAGTTTGGAGAAAATCCAACCACTCAAACTACTGAGTCGGAAATCGAACCCGAGACTTTCGGTCCCGCGCTCAAAAGTCTAAACTCTAGACCACTATTTCAGCTTGACATTTAACCATACACTTCAAGTAACTTTTTCTTAAAACAATTACTAGATCATTAAATTAAGTTTTTCCATCTAAGATTTTATAATTAACTTTTTAATTGTTATATCTCATAAGCATCTATGATATAGATTTTATTGCATTCCCATTTATATATGTATATTTTTTGCAGATAGCCGACCACATATTCGTAACGAAAAATCCACAGATAATATTGCACTTCAACGATTCAAAAATTATATGCGCGATAAAAGACGTCGGTGATGATTTTATTCCCTCCTATTTTTTTTATCTTGACAGGACAATGTTTCTTGTTTTTAGTGATATTATGTTTTAAGGTATAATGTATAATTGAAATGTATATTGTAAATATGATTTATTACTATTATTATGACTATTACTATCGTTGTTTAATGTTTGTTTGCTAAAAAGTGCTCAGTTGTGAAGTGACTGATTTATTATGGTATCAATCATTGTGTTTATTAGCTTAACGATAGTATCATTTAAGGTTATTGAGAACTATTATTTCACTAATCTCATAGAATATTGGTTGCAATAAGTACTTTAGACAACAAATCTAGCTAACCCTTTACAATGCATAATTATGATTGCCAACTTCTTTTGCTATTGAAAAATCCATTGCATGGTACAACACACACTTAAAACTAGGAAGTAGTAAAGTTCAGCAATTCAAATAGTATGAAGTAAAAAAATAAAACATACTATGAATAAAAAATCCGAGTATCTTAGTAATCCATGTATGTGTATAATATTAATTCAACTAACTTGAATTACACTAAAATGGTATGGTTGTACATCCGTATGTTATACAAATAAGTCAGTCGAACCTTTTCATGGAATTCGTCCAAACACCAAAACTACAATAAAGAATTGGGGGGGTGACATCTCTCTTTTTTAAAATGAGGCTTGTCGAGAAAGTAACCTTTAAACTATCCAGAAATATATCTGTCAGAAAAACGATTACAGTGGACAATACCTTTCACTAATTTGCTTTGTGGTGTGAAAAAATTATTTCCATGGAACTCTACTATGATGCAATTATTGGGCTAAAACAAGGCTGTTTTATTAGAAAACATTGATAATCAACGCCTTTCTAAGTAATGGCGCTAAAAAAAGTTTGCGTAATTATGAGCACAACCCGGTGTGTTGGGTTTAAAAACTTATATTCCATCATGTTAGACATTTCCTTTGAAATTATGCAATAGAATTAACAGATATTCCGGAAATGTTACAGAAACATCTTCAAAACTTTCCAATTTCACTCCCCTCATAATTTACTTTTCTTTAGTGAATTTCGTAATTCCTAATTCTGTTAAAATATTAGATTCATCAAAATTATTAGCTTGTGTGTTGTTAAAGAAATGTAATAAATTCATCGTATTCGATAAACCTTGTTTTTACTTTCTATAAATTTGCCAAAGGGTTCATTTAAGTGATAATCAGTCACCGATTGGCAAATACTCTCATTTGTCACAACTGTGTTAAAAAGATCTGTTAAATGTCATCATAGTTGTGTTTCAACAGCAGGTCAACAATAGCTCCGCCTCTCGAGATCCTTTCATGCAGAGGCTCTAACAGCTGTTTGATGAACACTATCTTCACTTTTTCTGTGGCAGCAATATTCCAAAATTAATGAAAATGATGAATCAACCCTCAGTAGTTGGGAAATTTTTACTTGTGTTGCTTATAAAATACCTGACTCGGAAACAACACTTGTCATATTGGCGTACTTTGATAACTGCTCACCACATGGACGCATCTATTGGTCTTATTCCCTAGCCTCATCTTTAATTTATCACATTAAGACTTCCAATAAACCATAGTAAGAGGAATAGTTCGAACGATTTTCTGAATACGAGATTTACTCTGTCTCAGTAAACAATAGATTAGTAATTTTACGACAAAATTTTCTACCGATCTAACCATTACCAAAGACTAGCCAATTGAGACATACTTTCGTCCTACAGCTTTCCAATTTCTGTAATTAACACAGTAATTATCCGTATAGAGGAGATTTTGGAAATAGTTCACGAAGCGATCTTAAATAATCTAAATAAATAAGTGTATACATGGAGGTTTATATTTATATGTTCTGAGTGACTAAATTTTATCAACATGAAAAGAGATTTACTAGTAATATTGTATAAACTTAGATCTTTTCTTTCACAATGCAAACTATGCAGATTGTCTCGATATAGTCTTAATTCACAAGCATTATATACAAGGACTCAATAGCGAAGTAGATAGTGCAATGGCATTTAAAGCAAACGCTACTGAGGTGAAGCCCCAAAGTGAACATCAACTCTGAAGTACAGGTACATCCAGCTGACGAGTCCAAAATAGGACGGAACGCACGTTATGGATTCCACTGCTAACCACAATCCATCTTTGCACATGATCTACTCAATGCTTAATTTATTCAAAATTATCAAATTAAAGCTTGATAATAATAGTAACAATTTAATTTGTTGTTAATCATTAAATATACAATTGAACATGTAACACATAAAGTTACAATAGTAATTTACACTCTACGATTAAATAAATTTTCTCCCTTTTTTTGTCTATTTTTTTTCTCAAAAAATAATTATCCAAACTAATTTGTAAAAAGGAGATATTTAACTTGAATATAATTTTGTTAAGAAATAGATATATCAGTAAATCATTAGAGAATATACAATAGTATTATTATATCATAGATTAAAATGATTGTACAATTGAAATCGTTTTAACCCCACCACCACCACCACCATTCACACACCTCCCACCCCCCCCTCAAATTTTTAATAAACTATTTATTTCAATCAATAAAAAAATGGATCTATTCTTTAATGAATGGTGTACATTTTGATCAAAATGATTTTATGTTTAATGAATATAAAATATCTATCCCTGATTAATTAATCTATTAAAATTATATTGTATTTAGTTTTATCTGTTTTCATATAGATCACTATTACATACACATGTTATTGAAATGAATAATTTAATAAAATAAAAGAAAAAGAAAAATCATAGATAAATAACTAAATAATATTTCTTTTCTTTTTTTTGTGGAAAAAAAATCAACAACATTTTATTGTTTAAAACAATTAATCCCTTTGATAAATTTCTATGGTGCAATGATGAGATGACGTTTATCAGAATGATGTAATCTATTTGCTCAATACATTTTGAATAATCTGTTCACTTGTTAAGAACATTTGTTCTATGAAAATTAAAAGGTCAATTAGACAGGTTTAAAGGTAAGTCATAAGAAAGGAAAAAACAATTAAAGTGGTAATCACATTTGTTTCTATGTACTTTATTATTATTATTATTTTTCTGTTGTTACGGCTTATCTTTAATTTGTCTGATTGATCTTTTAATTTTCATACATAAATGTTCTTAACAAGTGTATTATATGTGATCAGATTGTTTGAAATGTATTAAGCAAATAGATCATATAATTCTAATAAACTTCATCTTTTTTATTACATTATCGAAATTCTAATGTCTGTTTCAATTGTTTATGACATTACATTCCATATTACTTTTCATTTGTTAAATTGTTCCCAATATTTCTTCTTAAAGAATGAATAGTAACTGTACTAGAAAATAATTCTCTATAATATGAATATTATAGATTTTCTGTATATAGTTAGAAAGAAACTCAATTTTTATTTTGCTTATTTAATTGCATAGGTTATTAAGAGTGTTGTTTTTTTTTCAAAAAATAAACTACAGTGTCTTATAATGATTTTTGTATTTTGATAGATGGTAGTTTACTGGTAAGAGACTGTGTATTTGTTTCAGTTTCATTTCGTAATTCATCACTAACTTGTTGAAATAATTCTTTTGATGTTGGAATTTTTGTAGCTGTAAACTGTACATCAGTAGGTGCATGAGTCAATTTTACAGATGGCATACGTATAGGAACAGGTGAACGTATAGTTGGTGTTTCTTGAGTGGATAATGTATCAGTTATTTTAATTTGATTTACACGATCAACAACTTTTTCTAATATAGCTTCAATACGTTCTAATCGACTATCTATTTGATTATTACGTAATTGTATGCTTTCATTATTAGTTGTTCCATCAGAACTGCTTGTATTTTGACTGGTATATGGTCCTCTAAAACTAACACCTGTACCCAATGTATGCCTACTATTTTGTAATGCAAAACTTTGTATTAAAATGAATTTTAATACGGCATCAATTTCTTGTTTATATAATTTACCACGATCATCTGATTCACCCATTAATAATTTAATTCGTCTATTATTCTCTTCTTTAATTTTAATGAGTTGGTTTTCTCTAGTTAAATGTTTTTTCAAATTACTATTCTCTTCATCAGGTGATTCATTTTCTTGTTCCTCCAAATCATCATTTGACTCAGTTTTAAACAATTTTTTACTTCTTCCAAATGGAAATTTTATATCCTTACAGAAGCATTGACTAGTACCAATGTAGAAACAACGAAATAATTCATAAATTATGCATAATGTATTGAATGGTGGTGGTAATAATGTTCGTTCACTATATTCTTTAACCATTTTATAACGTCCAGCTAACCAATGTGCTGTTGACTTTTGATCAATTCTTGATACTGTATTACTGAACAACGCAATAAGTAGATTGATTAAGATAATATTAACAATTCCAACGTATAGCACCAGAACAAAAAATATAACTGTATTAAATCCTAGTTCACTGCCACAATATTTATTATCTTCACATGTCTCTTCTTCTAAAACAATACTCACTTCAAATATACTATAGAAGGCGCGTCGAAATAATTCACTAAATGACATAAGCACTCCAAGTCTCTGCATATCACGTTGACGTGATAATTCAGTGCTGTTCATTAAATGCTTATTTTGACGTTGCCCATGTGTTTCATAAAAACTATTTGGATATATTAATCCTTGAAACCATACTCCATAAGAGACTATGAAAATTGCAAATACTATTAATAATGGTATCAAATCTTTACGTAACATATCAGCCATCATTTTAAGTCGTGGACCAATAATTGGTGAAATTGAAGTAATATGTAGAGTTCTCATATAAAAAAGATTTAGACCAAGCATATAAAGATTACGAGTTGTATAAAGTATAACATCATGAGCTTCTTCAAATTCTGATCCATGTTTATTTACCACATTCATTCTTGTACAAAATCCAATAAATGTCAAAGTAATTGCAAACACATCAATCCAATTCCAACCATCTCTAAAATAATCACTGAATCCATCTCGAGATGCTTCAAGTATCAGCTGTCTTAATTCTTCAAATGCATAACCCAATACATAAGATAAAGAAACTACTTCCATTCGACTACAGGAAAAATGTAGATTATATACACATACAACTGAAAACAACATCAAGAATAATAAATGAAATAAAGAGTGCAGGCAGAATTTCATTGAAGGTGACAAATAAACTCCTGTGACAAAATGGAATCTTGGTGAAGAGGTCCATCCAAATTGATTTGACATACGTTCGTAAATACTTACATGTGGTTTAGGGCCTTGAGATGAATGGACAGAAATGGTGTTCTGAACTTTCAGTGGCTTTGGTCGCTTTATGGTTAATGGATTGTTAGGTAATTGAGGTGTGGCAGGGAAAACTTTAGCTATGATATTCCCAGTAGATTTTGATTCTTTACGGCCTGCTGAATCATTGAGTAAGTTTGGAGTCACTTTACCCCCCAATGCTGCATTGGCTGTTATATTTC